TGGACCGGACGCCGGGTTAAAAAATTGTTTTTTTTTTTTTTTTTTTTTTAATTTACGGGCGACCGGTCCAAGCGCCGGTCAGGAATCTGCACGTCCGGTCCAGACGTGCAGAGCCCTGACCGGCGCCTGGACCGGGCGTCCGGTTCAATTTCTTTTTTTTTTTTTTTTTTTTTTTTAATTATTTATTAGTTAATTTATATTTGGATACGCTGAATTTTGTAGAAGTCGACGAGTAGGCTTCAATTTATTTTTTTATCGGCGCCGAAACCGAAAGCCCGGTTCAATTTTTTTTTTTTTTTTTAAATTTATTATTCATTTGTTAATTTATATTTGTATACACTGATTTTTGTAGAAGTCGACGAGTAGCCTTCAATTTTTTTTATTAATTAATTAATTCATTCATTAGTTAAGTAATTTGTATATGTTGATATTTGTAGATGTCGGCGAGTTGGCCACACGGACGGGGCAAGGGACCGATGACACGTGGCATGAGACCAGATGGATTTCCTGGAATCGAGGAACCGGTAGATGATACTACTGCACAAAGAGAGGGTAGGACACACAAGCGTAAGGTTACTGGATCTACACGACGGGGTGAACGTAATTTGCGACTGAGGGAGCCAGATGCACAGACCGATGAGGATGATGATGATTCACATGTAGGTTTCGAGGGTCAGTATGTTTATCCGGTGCCAGATTTTGGATTAGATGACAATGATGATGGCAATGATGTTGGCAATACCGTTTCCGCATCCCCGACTACTTTGACAGGTGCTGCTGCTACTTCATCTGGTGGTGCTACTCATCGTCGGGGTAGTACTTCGTCCGATACTGTTACTCGTCCGTGGAAGTTGACTGGTCCGGCACCTGGTGGACCTACTGACTATAACTTGATACCGAGTTTCGGAGCGCACGTCGCCTATGACATTTGGGAGGGAAAGGTAATATTTTATTATATGAATTTTTATTGTATTTTTTTAAATGCGTATAGTAGATAGTTGCATAATTAATATTTGTTTATATTTTGGACAGGAGCGATCTATGGTTAAATTGCAATCCCGTACAAAAGCGGTGACTGGTTGGCGTGGGCCAACAGATCCTCGGTCTGTTGCATTGTTGGAGGGTACTGGTTTGTACCAATTGCAGCATTGTGTACTCCCTCAGCACAATAACCCACTGATTGAGGCATTCATTGAAAGGTGGCAGCCGGACACAAATACGTTTCACATGCCTTTTGGGGAGATGACGATTACACTCCATGATGTGCATTATATCATGGGGTTGCGAGTTAGTGGACATCGTCCTTACACTGATATGCAGAAGAGCTTGGTGATCGAATCTGGATCGAGAATATTCGATCTTGACATTCTCAAGATAGAAAGTTGGTGGCACAATGGTGGCCCCCGATTAGAGGACTTGCAGGAGCTATACGGAGATCATTCATCAGCTTCGTCAGAGTGTAAGGTGCGAGCATACATCATTTACTTGTTGGGATCGACTTTATTTGTCAATAAGAGCGGTGCTAGAGTGAAGCCAGATTTTTGCCCACTTATAGAGGACATCGAGCAGATTAGAGAGTACTCGTGGGGCTCCGGTACATTGGCGAATCTATATCGACAGTTGGGTATGGCTTCACGAGCTGAGGCGAAACAGATTTCCGGATGTCTGACACTGTTAGAGGTAATTATTTTATTTGTATATTTTCTTTAATTATTTAATATAATTAATATTTATATTATTTTTAAATTGTGTTTCATACGTTTGTATAGTGTTGGATATACGAGTATTTTCCGAGTTTTCGACCTCCGACGGTTAAAGCACACGTTATAGGAGAGCCATGGTGCATGAGGTGGCATATATCAGACGTGGTTCGAAAGGATAGCAGTCGATTACTTGAGTATCGTCGGATGCTTGATCATTTACGTGCAACCGATGTAAGTAACTTGTACAATGTATTGTTTCATTTGTCTGAATTAACTGTATTATTAATATGTATATTTTATTATAATAGGTTTATTGGACTCCGTTTGGTCCGAATGTGGCACGTGATGTCGAGAAGACACTCCATCATGGTACTATCAGGTTCATGGATACGATCGAGCCTTACATGTCCGATAGAGTCTTGCGCCAATTCGGCTTTCGACAGATTATTCCCGCGTCCCCTATTCTACCGATGCGTGGTTCTAAGAGGGAAAGAAAAATTGTTTCGTATAAAGTACGTTACGAGTCCAATGATTATGCATGGAGTATCCCAAACGTGCACAGACTTGAGCAGACTTACTACGGTCATAGGGCGGATCCAGCTTGGGAGGTTGCTACAGATTACATGGATTGGTATATACCTCGTACTCACCTTCGTGTAGATCCCAGTACTGATTTATTGGAGAGAGCAGAACCATCTCCAGTTCCATTCGTGTACGATATCACACGATTGTTGCATCCGTACTACTACGATCACTTGCCACCATCCCGTATTCCAGGATATCATATGGTACCAGATGATGTCTTTAGACAGGTTCAGGATCTGTGCACGCCATTTTCTGATTATTTACAGTTGCAGCCACCCGATATTCCCGATGATGATATGGATGCTGAGCATGATACTGGACCGTCACGTATGCCATATTCCCAGAGCAGGCGGCAGAGGAGGGACTAGTAGCTATTGTTATATTTATTTTTGTTATTTCTTTTAGTTATTTCTATGTTTTTTTTTTTATTATCGACAGAATTGCGTATTTTTAGGTTTATTTCAGTGTGCCGGATTACTAGGATAAATGAACAATGTTATTTTTAGGTTTATTTCAGTTTTTGTGTTTCATATTATTTCAGTTCTTCTCTTTCTGGATAAATGAATATTGTTATTTTTGCCCAGTAGAAAATGAAATAAATATTTCTAATTTAATAAGTCTTAATAAACAAATTTGCGGTAGCCAAGTTGGTCAGGGTTCTGATTTACTGCCCAATTGACCCGTGTTCGAATCTTGGCAGCGCGTGTGTATTTTGAATTTTTGCCCAGAAAAACATGAAATGACCAATTATATTTAATTAACTTTATATTCACAAAATCTTTATTGCCTAACTGGCATGGGAGTGGGCCGTAGCTCAATGTTATCCTGGGTTCGAGTCCTTCATGGAGCCCGAATTTTTGATTTTTTGATTAAAAAATGCAGTTTGTTAAGAAAAGATACAGTAGCTGAAAAACTTTGGCTTGGCAGAGAGCATCACAGCAGCATCACAGAAAACTAAAATATTTTAATAATTCACACAAACATCCATAAATTATAAATAAATTACATAAACATCAAAAAAACTAAAATAATTTAATAATTCACACAAACATCCATAAATTATAAATAAATTACATAAACATCAAACAACATAAAATCACGAGATACGAGTCCAATGATTATGCATGGAGTATCCCAAATGACGTCTACCCGCTAATGCATCGTCCAAATAAGCTACACTATCGTTCCTATACCTCCGCCACTGCATGTCAAATGGAGGCAGTGGACAATTATCATTCAACTTCACATACACAAAATGACTCCCTTCCGCCAGGTATACAATGGTCATCTCGTGCGATAGTTGTGAAACACCAACGGGGGAGAAAAGCGGCAAATACGTCTGATTTCCAGAACTGCTTGTCGACAACACCAAAGCGTTGTAACATGTTGCTACGACCACTCCCACGTCCGTAATAGTCATCCATTTATTTAGCGGTGCCGGTCCATTTTGCCAATGTGCCACACTTGTCATCACTTGATATATGTAATTCCCGCCGCCATAGTAGTCTTTGAAAAACACTTCATTATTTTTGAGAAAATTATAAACATCCAATCTAACATCATACCAATTCTCCTCGTCGCCCTTGACTGCACATGCAACAGACCGGTATCCGCAGTTACCATCGCCTAACACGTTCTTCCACGTCACAACATCGGGTACAAGTGCAAAATGTAGATTCCGGATAAACTCAGGTTGGACAATGCGTTCCGGTTCGCCCCCACTTACAGTAGATGAACGACCTCGACTACGATTTCTGCTAGATGAATCAGAAGGTGGACCACGACCTCTACTGCCTCGACGGCCTCTACTACCTCGTGGTCGAGGTTCCCATGCTGACAATTCTCTCTGCGTGGAGTTGTTCCTCGGTCTGCCTCTTGGTCGTTGTACTGACGGCTCATTTAATTCCGTCTCGCCGGGGTGTATCCTTTCAAAAACTATGTCCGCCACATCATTAATCTCAACGTCAGAACGTTGACGCAATTCCTCAACCAATCCTTCTAATCTTCCAAGTGCTTGTGTCCTATGATCGGGGACTGAATCGACACTCTCAGCATCATTGCCATCCAACAAAATCATGGTCCTCCAAAATTTATGGACATCTTCTGCATAAAACACACCACCACGTCTACTCTCTTTAAGATCAATGTCATGTTTGCAAGGGAGACCGTGAGTGTTCTTCAAGTAACAATTGCAATTCTCGACATTTTTTTTACGCTCAACGTCCAAAAGTTTAAGGGCCGCATGTGTGACGATTCCGGAAGATAAAATCCTAAAAATGGGTACATTGATAGTCTTCGCTCGGATCCTCCTTGATTTGCCAAATGTTTTCAGAATCTCATTAAGTTGAATGATCATCTGTGAGTGATACTGAGCCCAAAAGGTGTCAAATCCACCGGTGGACGACGACAACCAATCCTTTACTGCTTTATGACCGCTCTCAACCCTAATTAGTGAACATAGGAAATTTTTAATTCACAACTAATATTAAATTACGATTTATATTGCACAAGTAATATTAAATTACCTGTTTGTCGAGGTATTGCCGAGGTGGAATACATAATCTGTCCATGCACGAACAAACCTATCTTTGTATATGAGCCAAGTCGTATCTAGGTACTCGAGTAAATCCGCATTGTTTCTGTACTCATCGACCATCGCCGCAAGGTTACTCTCGTATTGTGCAACAGATAGTGAAGTTACAACTTTTTGCCAAACCTCACGAACGAAGGTAATTCCTCGAGACTTACTGTTACCCAAGCATTGTGCAGCACGACGACCCACATTCCTATTGATATGGAATGTGCATAGAAGATGATATGACTCTGGGAACACATTCTCTAACCCCTTTATTAGCCCCAATTCCCTATCAGTCACAACGACCCCCGGTACATTGTTTGGGAGGTATAGTTTTCTCAAATTGTTCAACGCCCACGTATAATGATCTTCATTTTCATGGCGCATAAATGCCACTGCAACAGTAAAATTCAGACCCTCAGAGCAAACACCAATAATCTCCAACAAAGGCATTTTGTACACATTTGTTTTGTACGTACAGTCAAACAACAAAACGTATGGAAACAGTCTCAACATTTCGACCGACTGAGGGTGTGCCCACATCAGATCAATCACTTCATGCGTAGTTGGATCAGTGCGGATCCACTTATAATACTTATGTTCCTCAAGCAACCCAACCAAATGCGGCATAATTGTATGTCCGCCTCTAGCCTCCTTTTTCATTTTCTCCTTTTCATTGTATATTTGTCTCAAATGCACATCTTTTGCCAAGTTCTTCTCTTTCAAATGTATTAAAATCTTCTTCGGCGGCACATGACTTTTTGCCAACATCCGAGTGATTTCCACCTCCTCTTCAGTCATTTTCGTAGACCCATGCCCAAACAAATATACGGGATCATGATTATGTTTCCCGTATAATATTCTAATTCCCCATCTATCCCCGTAATGTTGCTCTCCCTTCAAGTAAAATTTACAATTAATCTTCTTTGTGCCCGACCATCGAGAGTTTGGCACATCTGTGTCTGTTTTACTTGGTCTCTTCACCCCAAATAGATCACAAGTAAGATATGCTCTATTTGAAGGGCTACTACGGCTCACCAACTTTACACCAAGATTCTTGGCGGTCATTCTCGCCCATTGTACCAACTCAATCCTCGAGTTAAAAAGTTCCGGTACTATAAAATGCTCACTATGATCAACTTCAAATGTAGAAGAATTTTGTTGTTGCTCTTCCTGAAATAATTATAAATAAAATAAGGTTAAAGAATAATAATAATAAAAAAAAAAAAAAAAAAAAAAAAAAAAAAAAAAAAAAAAAAAGTGTTCCGCTTCCAAACCGGACGCGGAAATCGGTTTTGGGCACCCAAACCGGACGCGGTTGGCAGTTTTCCGCGCCCAAACCGGACGTGGTTTTTGGTTTTTGGCGCCCAAATCGGCCGCGGGGAGTAGTTCTCCGCGCCCGAACCGGACGCGGGAAATACTTGTTCGCGTTCGAACCGGGCGCCAAGTACCATCCCGTGCGTTCGGTTTGGACGTGGATCTAGGTTTTCCGCGTTCAGTTTAGGCGTGAGACGTATTTTTGGGCGTCCAACTTGGTCGTGGGTCTTGTTTTCGCGATTTAAAGAACAAAAACGAACAAATTTTACCTCGTTGGATTCCGTATCTCGATCCTCATTCGATGCACTCATTTTTTTTTTCAAATGGCTACAATAACATGTGTTTTGGAATGATTTCTAATATAAAAGCTAAAATTGTAGAGAGAGAAAGAAAGTAGAGAGTGGATTTTTTTAAACCCGCATTCGTAATTTTGCTACCGCGAATCGGTTGGACTTGCTGGTCGGTTTTTTTTTTTCTTTTTTTTTTACTAATTTTATTTTAAAATTATTCCGCAATTATGTTTTAATTCTTGTTTTCTATTTCATGAAACAGGAATCATGTCGGGGATACTTCTTTACCTCTCACCGATGTAAGTTTCACGACGCTGAAAAAATTGCAGCATATATAAATTGATTTCTTTAAAAAAATATATATATAGTTATTAAAAATGAAGATATGTTACATAGCAGCTGAAAAACCGTTAAATGACTAATAATTGTTAATTATGGAGGAAAATTATCTTAAGGATTGTGGAGGAAAGGTCATCAGAAAAGTTATCAGTAACCCCGTATATTTTGGCATATCTGAACTGCGAGCTTTGTATATTGTACGTGCGTTAGGGTTTTTTTTTTTCTAATTATTTTCAGATGAATAACAATAATTTCATTCACAAAATATTCTAATTGGTTGGTTTTGCATTTGTCTAATAGGTATGGATTTTGGTCATCAAATTTGCTTGCCGTACTTGCGAATGCTATAAACAGTGTCAAAACGAGATATTTGAAAAGCGTATTGGAGCACTCTGTGTTGTATCTGTGGTTGTGCTCACTAGTACATTTGTTCCGTTTTCAATGCCTGAGAATCTTACAGCGATTTCCACTGGAGCTTTAGCTACTGCTTTCTCCATCGTTCTCTATACTTTATCACTCGTAAGTATCTCTTGTTTTGCCATATATATAGTTAATGGTATTTGCAATTTTTTTTTTTTAATTAATTGGTGAATTTTGTTGAAAAAATATGTATGTAGGTCTCGGTGATCAAGACAAAAGACGTGGAATTCATGTCATTCTACAGTTCGGAGTTGATGTTCTTGAACGGGGCATTCTGGTTTGCCTTTGCCGTACTTCGAAAAGACCATTTGATGATTGTAAGTATAAATACCGTAACTCGTATGATTTTCAGATTTTTTTTTTAATATCAGCCGACTAACTAATTCACTACTTTTCCAGATATCGAATGGATTCTGCTGTGCAGTGGGAGCAATACAAACATACCTCATGTATCCGAATAACAAAGGGAAAATCGAGAATCAAAACGAAGAAGAAAGAATAATTGATTCATCCGACTCTATCGTGTAAATAACTTCAAGTGAACAATTGATTTGATTTCGTTACATGTATAGAATTGTTAATTTTCTCGAAACTGCTTCTTGGTCGCTTTTTAAAAGGTTAATTTTGAGGGAACATGAATTTTTCGATGGGTTTCTTGCAAGGACCACCCTTGTGTAATCTCGAATTGCCGAAAAAATCTATGTGTTAAAAAAATTAGCACAAACCCCCTATCAAAATTAGTCAAATGCAATAAGGACCCTGCGAGCTTGACGTGCGATACACTCGCGGTTTGTGCGACTGAAGGTGCATTTTTGGCTGGAAAAGACATAAATACCCTCTAACTGAAAATTTCTGAAAATTGCTGATTCACCTCAGAATTTTCATAAGCCCAAAAACAAGTTTCCAAAATTTTCAATCTAGTCCATGCTATTTTCAAAAAGACCCTCTCTTCAATCTAAAACCCTATGACCAATCTCTTCGTCGGATTATCATAAAAAGCCCCCAAATCTTGACCCCTTAAACAACAAAACAACTTCATTTCATTATTCTCCAATGGATCTGGAAATTGAAGGCTCAGGAGGTAATTTACCTCCATTCCCTCTTGCACCAAGGTCTTGTTAGAGCAGTTGCATGTTGGTTATAATACCTACACACAAGTGCACGTATCGTACAAGTAATATAGTGGACAATTAAGTCCGGATATCGGACCCACAGAGAATATTTAATTACTTAATCCTAGGCGCTAAATCCTGACAATTCTTATCAAGCCCACCCTACACAGTCGAATTTGGAAAAGATTAACTAAATTAAACTAAATTAAAAAGCAAACAAAAACAAGAAAACAATGTAAAACAAATATTTAATCAGAGAAAACGAGCAAGCCTAGGATTTTATTCTCCCCCTATGTGATTATTATTCCCCCAATTCCTTCAATCATGCAAGTAATTAACCCGAATTATTAACCTGAGATGCTAAATTAATCATAACCCGCTTCCGCGTGTATTACGATTCTAATACTCTAGATTCAATTACTGTATTCCTACGCAATTAATTCTAGAACACAACATTAAGCACAAATCTCAATAATGGCTACCTAAGAGATTAACTATGTTCCTATGTTAATACCACAAAAGCTCTTCTACCATAGTTTTAATTATTAACCCGATCTTCTGATTCATGCGATTAACAATAACATAAAAGCACATAAGGTGATCAAGTTCATGCACTTAATAAAACAAGTAGAAGAAATAATCTTGAATTAAAACTTGCATAAAATCATAGAATTAGGTTCACAAATCCCACATAGGAACAAAATAAAATCCTAGAAATAAGAAAATTAGCTACTCATGATTAAAGTAAAAACGCAAATAAAATTAATCATAAACGATAAGTCTATGCTTGGAGTTTTCGAATTCTTCGTCTTCGTTATTGCTTTGTTGCTCTTGAAATTGAGTAAAAGATGGATCCCCAATTGTGAACTTGGCTTGGTCTTATATAGGGTGGAAAACTTAGGGAAGAAGACAGTTTCCTTGTGCAATTAAAATCCCTTTACTGCGCCTCCTCGTGATCTCGGACGGCCGTCCCGAATTTTGTACTAAAACTCGAACGGCCGTTCTGGGCTATAAATCTTCAGATTTTTTTACTTTTTCACTTTTGGCCTATATTTTCTCCAAAATTGTAGTTTTTACCCCATACTTTTTCAATTCTTCAATTTGTACCTAAAATACAATAAATCATCTTTTTAAGCACCAATTATCGTTAAAACACACCAAAAGCTCCAATTAAAATGTACGATTAAGTGTAAAAATATACACTTAACACACCCCCAAACTTGAACTTTTGCTTGTCCTCAAGTAAAATCTACTCATAAGCAAATAACTCAACTACTACATTTCATTACATAGATCAATGATCAACTTCACGTTTTCAGAACTTGTAATTATAATGATAATTTTTAGGCATTCGCAAGCTTAGAATTCAACATCACTTAGTCACTCACCATTACCAAAAACCATAAATCATACAATTGCTTCAAGCATCCAATATTTGCAAATTAAAGATAGAAAAAATTTATACTTACATGCATATGTTTGACTCCAAATACTCACCAAATTATTCTACTCTACTAATATCGAACATTAAGCTATTGGGATCATTGGGGCTTTGTGGCTTTCAAATGTTAGGCTCTTTGGTTCGAGGTAGGAAATATGGGTATATGTGGCTATTCTTTTTGAATTGAGGTGATTACGCCAAAATTTGAAAGATAGGCGTTTGAAATAATGAATTCACATATAAGGACTTTAATAAACTCGATTCTTAAGAGTTCAAAAGTCTCCACTTTTGCTCTTAAGACAATGGATCGATCTTTCAAAACAATTCAACAACTAGTCCTTACTTCTCCCTTCTAGTCTCTTCTTCTTCTTTTTTCTTTCTTTTTTTTTGTTTATTTTTAATATATATATATATATATATATATATATATATATATATATATATATATATATATATATATATATATATATATATATATATATATATATATATATATATATATATATATATATATATATATATATATATATATATATATATATATATATATATATATATATATATATATATATATATATATATATATATATATATATATAAAAAAAAATATATATATATATATATTTATATATATATATATATATATATATATATATATATATATATATATATATATATATATATATATATATATATATATATATATTTAAAAATATATATATATATATTTATATATAAATATATATATTATATAAAATATAAAAATATAAATAAAACAAATATAAAAAAAATATATATATATATATATATATATATAT